ATCACCATTCCCATGTGAGCCTGTTTTTCCTGTGCCTTGCCTTTGATTTTGACATCTCTGCTGTGAAACTCGAAGTTCCTTGGGGACTAAGTATTTAAAGAAAAGAAAAAACTTCATTTTGTTGAGTTTACCTGAGCTTAGCCCCATTTTCCATAAATGCCCCATTCTCATTGTCATCATATAGGCAATGATTTTATTTGGTAATTCAGTCGGGCCCAGTTGTTTTCAATTGAATTTAAACTATTACTTAAAAAGATGGGTGGGGCTACCTACTCAGTTTGATTATTAAAAGTTTTAAGCATTTCTGAAGCATTTAGATATTGACGAATGTATTAATAATTTTCTAAAAAAGACCCAATACCTCTATAACAAGCACTGCCCTAAAAAAACTAAACAGATGACAGCTAAGAGACTGAACAGTCCCTGGTTAACACCCAGCATTCTCAAATCCATAAATACAAAACACCAATATGAAAAACAGTACAGAATGGGTCACATAACCAGAGACCAAACAAAACGTTACTCGTCAATCCTAACCAGCCTGATAAGAAGGGCAAAAAAATTGTATTATGAGAACAGATTATCCAACTTTCGGGGTGATATAAAAAAGCCCGGGAAAACCCTATCAGAAATTCTAGGAACAAAAAAAATATCACGAAAAGCGAAAAAAAATTTAGCAAAATCAATGAACCCCAACTCCCCCCAACAGAAACAGAAAACAGACTCAATGATTTCTTCTCCACTATAGGAAAAAACCTGCCAAAAAAACCCCAAGCTCAGATCCCCCACAAATGACTACCTCAGGGCCAACTCCCCGAACCACTGTTCCTAGCTCCGACTAACCCATACGAATCTCCTTATTATCAAAACCTAAAAAACAAGGCAGAGATTTAAATACCTTACCACCCTTTATTAAAAAAAAGTGTCAAAGTCACCCAATCTTTGCAACACTCTTTAAAACAAATCCTTTTAATCCCCCCCTTCCCTACAGTACTCCAAAATAGAAAGGGTCACCCCGACCCACAAAGGAGGAGACCAAACAGAGTTGAAAAACTATAGGCCATATCCAACTTCACCCTCTCTCAAAAATCTTCGAAAAATTTAAATTCATAAACGAATTCTCCTACCTTATCCCCCAAAAAATACTCAACCCCTGCCAAATTTGGGATTCAGCCAAAATAAAAATACTAATGATGCAATTATACCATTAAACATATATACACTGCAATAGAGAAAAAAGAACCCCAGGGGGATCTTTTTTGATTTACGTAAAGCTTTTTTTACGTTAACCATGATTTTGCTCCCGTAAAATTTTGTCACACTAGGTTTAAAAAAGGGCACCCCTCAACTACCTAAATCATACCTCAGCAACAAAAGCCAATTTGTATGCAAATGGGGCAAACTCTTCTGCACAAACCAAATTCAGTTGGGGCCCACGGGGAAAGGCCTTGGCCTCTTCTCTTTCTCCATACATAAATGACCTACCAAATGCTTCGCAATTACTCAAACCCACACTATTTGCAGATGACACTACATACGTCTTCTCCACCCGAGCCCAGTCACGCTAGCCAATACTGTAAATACCGAATTACAGAAAATATCTACCTGGATGAGGACTAACAAACTTACACTAAACATTGACAAAACCTACTTCATGCAGTTTGGTAACAGAGCTACAGATGTCCCTCTAACATAATGATAAACGGATCACCTATCACAAAGCTAACAAGGGAAAATTCTTAGGAATCCACCTTGATAATAGACTCAAATTTCGTACACATATACAACAAATTTCTAAGAAAATTTCCAAACTGTAGGCATACTATCGAAGATACGGTACTATGCTCCACATCAGCCCTCCTGGCCCTATATCACTCTCTCTATTTACCCCTATCTCACCTATGGAATTTGTGCATGGGGCTCAACAACAAGTAACCATCTCAGACCACTAATTACCCAACAAAAGGCTGCAGTTAGAATGATAACAAATTCTCACTATAGGCAGCACACTCCACCAATATTCAATACACTAAACCTATTCACCATACAAAACATTCATACTTATTACTGCACCTATTACATACATAGAACACTTAACTCTGATATTAACCCTCCCCTCAAACATCTCCTTGCCAACCTCAACAGAACACATGACCATAACACACAAGGCACAGATCACTCTTTGATGTTCCTCGTGTCCATCTCACACTATGCAAAAACTCAATGCACATAAAAGGCCCTAAAATCTGGAACTCATTACCTGTAAATATAAAAGAAACACTACCTGTTTATAAATTCAAGTCTCTTCTCAAAGATCACTTACTCACCCAAAACCAAATAAATACTGAATAACTGAACCTTATAAATTGTATATCTTAAATGTTTCTCACAATTATATCACATAAATGTTAAACCTAAAACCCAATCTAACTTTATTATTTTTTTTAAATACACTACCTAACAGAATACTCCATTCCACTGAATGTACAACAATGCATACAACCATATGACCTGTCTTTGTAATACTCACTTGTGCTTTATAGTAATCTGTTTACATTAAAGTTTTATCACTGATGTCATCATTGCTTAGTTCATCTTAAGTTAATTTTAAGCCAGCCCGTAATGCTATGCATAGTATAAGTGGCTTTGGCATGCTGCTCTTATCTGTATTTTTTGTACCTCTGTATGTGTGCACAAATTTTTAAATAAAAATAAAATAAAATAATAAATAAAAATTAAAAAAATAAGCATTTACTAGTCACTTGTGTCAGATTTATGAGTAAGTACTTCTGTGCATAATGGAAACGTCATAAACATGGCGTCGTTGTTTAGAATAATGCTATAAGCATGAGAAAACATAGGGATATTCAGTGGTCCTATTTTTTATATTTGACAGATCGTTAAGGGTATAATCTTTCGTTTACCACCATGTTTCAACACTTATGGACTTAAGTCTCATTTTCTGCTGTTCTTAAACATACTTCCCTGGGCTTCTGGCATCTAAGGGTTGGTGGTTGGTGAAGCCTGGGGCTGACTGGCTCCCTTCTTTCCTAGCTGGGATATACAGTGGACCCCCGCATAACGATTACCTCCGAATGCGACCAATTATGTAAGTGTATTTATGTAAGTGCGTTTGTACGTGTATGTTTGGGGTCTGAAATGGACTAATCTACTTCACAATATTTCTTATGGGAACAAATTCGGTCAGTACTGGCACCTGAACATACTTCTGGAGTGAAAAAATATCGTTAACCGGGGGTCCACTGTATAAGCAGACACGTCTGTTTGGGATATCTTGTACGGTGGAACTCTGGTTTTCGTACAGTCCACATATTGTACAGTTCGGATTTAGAACACTTTTTTGGGCAAAATTTTGGTCCAGATTTCATACCTCTATCCAGAAATTGTACGTATCAGACTCATCCGCCCACCCAGGATGCCGCCACATACATGTCTCAGCCTGGCTCTGTCACTGGTTGAGTGAGCATTCATCCGAAACATTTCACAATTTTTGTGTTTGTTTACTGATTGCGACTGTGAAATAAGCCACCGTGGGCCCAAAGAAAGTTCCTAGTGCCAGCCCTCTGGTAAAGAAGGGTGAGAAAAACAATAGAATTCAAGAAAGGGATTGTAGAAAAATAGGAAAGTTGCATACATTTAGCCAAGCTTGCCAAGATGTATGGGAAGTCGAAATCAACACTCTGTTCCATGCTGTTAAAGAAAGTAGAAATCAAGGAAACTAAAGTTGCAAAAGGGGTAAATATGCTAACGCAACAGAGATTACAAACAGTCAAAGATGTGGAGAAGTTGCTGTTGGTGTGGATCAACGAGAAACAGCGGGAGACTGTGTTGTGGAGTCGATCATTTGCGAAAAGGCAAGGCAGTTGCATGCGGATCTCGTAAAGAAAATACCTGGAACGAGGGCTGGTGTTAGTGAATTTAAGGCCAGCAAAGGCTGGTTCAACAGATTCAAGAAGCGTAGTGCCATACACAGTGTTGTAAGGCATGGTGAGGCTCCAAGTTCAGACAGACGTGTGGCCGAAGAATTCGTTGATGAACTCAAGGAGTACGTAGAGGCTGAAGGATTCGTCCCCCATCAAGTGTTCATTTGTGACGAAACAGGCCTCTTTTGGAAGAAAATGCCAAAGAGGACCTACATTATGCAGGAGAAAAGGCACTGCCAGGACACAAGCCTATGAAAGATAGGCTAACTCATTTGTTCTCTGGTAACACTAGTGGGGATTTCAAAGTGAAGCCTTTACTGGTGTATCACTTGGAAAATCCTAGATTGTTCAAGAAAAACAATGTTGTCTAGAGTAAATTGTGTGGGATGTGGATAGCTAATAATAAGGCAGGGGCCCAGTGCCAGTAAAAAACAAAGAAGGGAAGTAATCCCAGAGAGGGCTTTGATACCTGAAGGCCTTGTGGAGGGGGATTCCCCTTCCAGACAGTAAACCTCAAATTATTCTTCCCTCTTCACCTTCTTCAATACATCAACAAGAGTCTTCAATAAAGGTATGTAATGTTCATTTATCATTAAAATTAGTCATTTATATTTATTTCTCATTGTTTTCTGTATGTAAAACTATAGTTAACCTTTAAAAAAAATTATTTTTTGTTAATATTTTTGGGTGTCTAGAACACATTAATTGTATTTACATTATTTTTTATGGGAAATATTGGTTTTCGTATGTTTCGGATTTAGACCGACCTTCTGGAACGGATTAAGTACGAAAACTGGAGTTCCACTGTACTTCAATTTCCTCATTGCACTGCTCCTGAAGAAGTGTTGCTTTGCATGAAAGGCACCCTGAACAAAGTCATCCTCTCCCCCTGTGGTTACTTTGTATGTATGTATGTGCGTGCATGTGTGCATGCATATGTGTGTGTGCACGCACATCCATACACAATCACTGTACAATATGCCATACAGGTTCTTTGGTGTAAAAAACTACCCATCTGAGGGACAGTTAGTACATACATTTTTTTTCATTCCACAGGTTGAAAGTTGCCGTTTAGGTTGTGTGACTGGTGGTCTAGTGCCAATCTTAGTGGAGAAAATGTCAAGCAGCAACACGAAAGTGGCCCTGCAGGCTTGTCGAGCACTGGGAAATATTTGCTATGAACATGGTGGGTTTTATATACTGTATATAATCTCCATCAGTGTGCTAAGCTTGGTGCATGATTTGGCTCCTGAGTGTCCAGTACTCTTAAGGACAGCTGACCTCATTGCACATACATGTGCATTTTTAATGGTACTGTAATTTTTGCAACAACTACATTTCCGGTGCTGTTTTCTTCCTCTTTTCCCTTTTTTAAATTAAAAGGCATAATCATGGGTTTAAAAATTTCTAGGTCAAAAAAATACATGCCAGGAGAAATTTATATACAGTAAAAAGGATTAGAGGGGATGCCCGGGTTTCTTTTACATTTTGGGGGAAAAAATTGGCAAAAAATTTTTAAAACTTTAAAAACTGGGGGCATCAAATCCAAAAAAGTATGTTTGAAAATTTTTTCCCTTTGGTGATCCCCCTAGTGTTCCCCCTTCAAATTTTGAATTAGGGGTAAGCTTCGTGTTATATGTGGGTAAAAAACACTTTTTTCAAATCTACATTCTTCCCTTTATTATTGTTTTTTTTCTGTTGAAAAAACAAAATTACTTTGTCTAAATTTTGTATTCCTTTCATTATAAACCCCACTATCAGTTTAAATAGTTTTTTTTGGGGGGCAAAAGAAAATTTGACTGCCCAAAAAACACGCACGTTTTCTTGTACTAATATGTTTAAAAATTCATTCATCTCATTCTTCTTGATTTATTTTTTTTCAAACCCTTTTTTTCCCCCTCTCCATTTTTTCAACCCCTCTTCCCCATTTTTAAACCATTGCCCAGGTTTTACTTTTATTCAATTGATAAACAAAGGTTAGTTTTCCCCAAAAAATTTAGTGGTGGTTTAAGAATCAAACTTGCGACTTTTTTTAAACCCCAAATCACACTTCCCTTAAAACCTTTTTTTTTTTTAACAAGTTGGCTGTCCTCCCCAAGGCAAAGGGGGACCCAAAAAGAAAAAAAAATCCCCAAAAAAAAAAATACTTTCATCATTCAACACTTTTACCCCCAATCATACATAATCACTGTCTTTGCAAGGCACATGTTTTCAACAGAGAACAATATAAAAATATTAACATTTTCCTTCCAAACGCCAAAACCCCAAAAACCCCCCCTTTTTAACCCCCCTTTAAATGTCGCAACCTCAAAAACCGGGGGGTTTCTCCTTTGGGGGGTGCAAATCACCCCCCCCCCCCCCCCCAAAAAAAAAAAAAAAAAAAAAAAACTATTTTTTCTTATGAAATGACAGAGAATCTTTTCCCGATTGTAATGACACCAAAAGAACAAAATTTGATGGAAAACTGACGGAATTACGCTCTCACAAAGTTAGTGACCTCGGTGATATTTACGAATCAGCGATTTCGCCCACTTTGAGGTGTATTTTCGGCTAATTCCATTGTTCCAGTTGACCAAACTCATAGCTATTTCTTTAGAACTCCATTTTTTCTATTGATTGAATACAAGAAACTGCCCATTTACCTATTTCAAAAACCCAATAACGTGGTCAGAAATTTGCAATTTGGTTAATTTCACGAAAAATTAAAAATATGACAATTTCGAAATAGGCTCCAGAATAAACTATGCAGACATTCCTGACTCTAAAATAACATTTTCTTTGTTCATCAGTCACGTCTCCAGGCCCTTCTGATATTACTCTTGCTTTCTATTTTGAATTTTTATTCAAACAAAAAATCGAAGATTTACTGTTGTGCAGACTACTCCAATATTGTAATAATTGTATAATGTCAACCCATTCATGACTGCATATTAGAATGGCTACTTGGACATTTATTGGAAAATAACATCATTTGTTTACTTTTGAACATCGGCAAAAATTAAACATTTCCCCTATTTGAGCTCCATTTCAAGGTTCTTTTCATAGTAAAACTATTCAAAATCACCTCTTTTTCTATAATATGTTTTCCATTCTATCAAATGAGACCAAGAAAACGAGAATACAACCATAAATACTATACAAAAATAGATCACAAAGTTGGCATCTTAATTAAAAAAAAAGGGTCGGAGTTTTTTTTCTCATTATGCACTGTGTGCTGTAGGATTTTTTTATATGGTGCACACTGACCACACAGACCCATTCTCTCAAATGTGGGCCTACCAGCTTTCTCCTGCCAGGTTTCTCCATGTCATTCTACTTTGATCCATTCTCTCTAAATGACCAAACCACCTCAACAACCCCTCTTCAGCCTCCTGACAAATACTTTTATTAACTCCACACTTCTCCTAATTTCCACACTCCGAATTCTCTGCATAATATTTACACCACACATTACCTTTAGACAGGACATTTCCACTGCCTCCAACCACCACCTCGCTGCAGCATTTACAACCCAAGCTTCACACCCATTTAAGAGTGTTGGTACCACTATACTTTCATACAGTCCCTTCTTCGCCTCCATAGATAACGTTTTTGTCTCCACATATACCTCAATGCACCACTCACCTTTTTTCCTTCATCAGTTCTGTGTTAACCTCATCCCTCATAAACCCATCCACTGACAGTTCAGCTCCCAAATATCTGAAAACATTCACCTCTTCCATACTCCCTCTCCAATATATCTAATTTTTCTTTATCTAAATCATTTGATACCCTCATCACCTTACTCTTATCTATGTTCAGTTTCAACTTTCTACCTTTACACACCCTCCCAAACTCATCCACTAACCTTGCAACTTTTCGTTAGAATTTCCCATAAGCATAGTATCATCAGCAAAAAGTTACTGTGTAAACTCCCATTTTGTACTTGATTCCCCATGATTTAATCCCACCTATCTCCCCAACACCCTATCATTTACCTCCTTCACAACCCCATATATAAATATATTAAACAACTATGGTGACATTACACATCCCTGTCTAATACCTACTTTTACCGGGAAGTAATCTTCTCTCCTACACACCCTAACCTGAGCCTCACTATCCTCATAAAAACTCTTTATAGCATTTAGTAACTTACTGCCTATTCCATGCACTTGCAACATCTGCCATATTGCTCCCCTATCCACTCTTATCATATTTTTTTTTCTTTTCAACGTACCAGCCGTATCCCAATGAGGTGGGGTGGCCCAAAAGAAAAAACTGAAGTTTCTCCTTTTTAAATTTAGTAATATATAACAGGAGAAGGGGTTACTAGCCCCTTGCTCCCGCATTTTAGTTGCCTCTTACGACACGCATGGCTTACAGAGGAAGAATTCTGTTCCACTTCCCCATGGAGATAAGAGGAAATAAACAAGAACAAGAATTAGAAAGAAAATAGAAGAAAACCCAGAGGGGTGTGTATATATATGCTTGTACATGTATGTGTAGTGTGACCTAAGTGTAAGTAGAAGTAGCAAGACTTACTTGTAATCTTGCATATTTATGAGACAGACAAAAGACACCAGCAATCCTACCATCATGTAAAACAATTACAGGCTTTCGTTTTACACTCACTTGGCAGGACAGTAGTACCTCCCTGGGCGGTTGCTGTCTACTAACCTACTACCTACCTCTTATCATATTCTTCTTCTTTCAACAAACCGGCCGTATCCCACCGAGGCAGGGTGGCCCAAAAAGAAAAACAAAAGTTTCTCTTTTTTAAGTTTAGTAATTTATACAAGAGAAGGGGTTACTAGCCCCTTGCTCCCGGCATTTTAGTCGCCTCGTACAACACGCATGGCTTACGGAGGAAGAATTCTGTTCCACTTCCCCATGGAGGTAAGAGGAAATAAGCAAGAACAAGAACTAGAAAGAAAATAGCAGAAAACCCAGAGGTGTGTGTGTGTGTATATATATGCTTGTACATGTATGTGTAGTGTGACCTAAGTGTAAGTAGAAGTAGCAAGACTTACCTGAAATCTTGCATGTTTATGAGACAGAAAAAAGGACACCAGCAATCCTACCATCGTGTAAAACAATTACAGGCTTTCGTTTTACACTCACTTGGCAGGACGGTAGTACCTCCCTGGGCGGTTGCTGTCTACCAACCTACTACCTACCTCTTATCATATACCTTTTCTAAATCCATAAATGCAGTGGAAACTTCCCTACCTTTATCTAAATAATGTTCACATATATGCTTCAATGTAAACACTTGATCTAAACATCCCCTACCCACTCTAAAGCCTCCTTGCTCATCTGCAATCCTACTCTCTGTCTTTTTTTCTAATTCTCTTAGTAATAACCCTACCATACACTTTTCCTGGTATACTTAATAAACTTCTTCCCCTATAATTTTTACAGTCTCTTTTGGCCCCCTTTCCTTTATATAAAGGAACTATACATGCTCTCTGTCAATCCCTAGGTACCTTCCCCTCTTTCATACATTTATTAAAGAAAAATACCAACCACTCCAACACTATATCCCCCCCTGCATTTAACATTTTTGTCATGATCCCGTCAGTTTTAGCTGCTTTAGCCTCTTTCATTCTACGTAATGCCTCACGCACCTCCCCCACACTCAAATCCTGCTCTTCTTCACTCCTAAAAGATGTTATACCTCCCTGGCAAGTGCATAAAATTACCGCCTCCCTTTCTTCATCGACATTTAAAAGTTTCTCAAAATATTCCTGCCATCTACCCAATATCTCTGGCTCTCCAACTACTACTCCCCTACTCTGTTTTTAACTGACAAATCCATTCGTTCCCTAGGTTTTCTTTACGTGTTTATCTCACTCCAAAGTTTTTACCTATTTTGTTTAAAATTTTTTGACGGTGCCTCTCCCACTCTATCATCTACTTTCCTTTTGCACTCTCTTCACCTTTCTTTTACTCTCCATATACTCTGCTCTTCTTATAACACTTCTGCTTTGTAAAAACCTCTCATAAGCTATCTTCTTCTCTTTTATCATACCCTTTACTTCATCATTCCACCAATCACTTCTTTCCTCCTGCACCCACTCTCCCATAACCACAAACTTCGCCCTACATTCTAATACTGCATTTTGCCATAAATAGGTTCAACAGTGTTACAACTGGAAGTCCTACCAATTTAACCTGAATTTTTTTTATGCTGACTGTGATTGCAAGTTTAGCTCCCACATTACTCCTCAGTTTTGGAAATGTCTTATTCACATTTTTGTAAATTATAATTTGCATATTCTTCTCTCTCTTCTTTTTCTCTTGGATGCTCAATTCCTGGGTTGACTTGTTATCCTCTTGTCTACCTCAGACTTTAGGACACAATTGTCCTATTCAGATTTCAGTAGCTTGATTAATTCATTAACAGTAAGTGGAATTTTTTGTTCTCATATAACCACCTAATAACTCAAAAATTATGTAAATTGACAGGCATTAAATATTTTTTTTTAAGAAACTGGCCGTATCCCACCAAGGCAGGGTGGCCCAAAAATAAAAACTAAAGTTTCTCTTTATAAATTTAGTAATTTATACAAGAGAAGGGGCTACTAGCCCCTTGCCCCTGGCATTTTAGTCGCCTCTTATAATACACATGGCTTACGGAGGAAAAATTCTGTTCCACTTCCCCATGAAGATAAGAGGAAATAAACAAGAACAAGAACTAGAAAGAAAATAGCAGAAAACCCAGAGGGGTGTGTATATATATGCTTGTATATGTATGCGTAGTGTGACCTGAGTGTAAGTAGAAGTAGCAAGACGTACCTGAAATCTTGCATGTTTATGAGACAGAAAAAAGGACACCAGCAATCCTACCATCATGTAAAAGAATTACAGGCTTTCGTTTTACACTCGCTTGGCAGGACGGTAGTACCTCCCTGGGTGGTTGCTGTTTACTAACCTACTACCTGAAAGGCATTACAGTGGTCCCCCGCTTTTCGTAGTTCCCGGCAATCGTAAAATTCGCCAATCATAGGGGTATTTTCGTATAAACATGGACTCGCTTTTCATAGGTTGACTCGCGAGTCGTAGTTCGTCCGGGACGCGTATGCACGGCGTGAGAAAGGGTGGCAGCCAGTCTGGCATTGTTTACCAGTGAGCGAAGGTCCCCTCGCGTGCTCCAGCGAAATATTTCATAATATTCCATTTATTTTAGTGCTTGCAAGTACTAAATAAGCTACCATGGCTCCAAAGAAAGCTCCTAGTGCCAAGCCTGTGGTAAAGAAGGTGAGAAATACGATTGAATTTAAGAAAACCATCATTGAACAATATGAAAGCGGTACAAATGTTGCCGAACTGTCCAGGATGTATAAGAAACCCTACACATCCTTATGTTCCATAGTGGCCAAGAAAAATGAAATAAAGGATGCTTTTGTTGCAAAGGGAGTAACTATGCTGACAAAAATGAGATCAGTACTGGAAGAGGTTGAGAAGTTATTATTGGTGTGGATAAATGAGAAACAATTAGCAGGAGATACTCTTACGACTTCGATTATTTGTGAAAAGGCTAGGCAGTTGCATGACGATTTGGTAAAGAAATTGCCTGCAAATAGTGGGGATGTGAGTGAATTTAAGGCCAGCAAAGGCTGGTTTGAGAGATTTAAGAACCGTACTGGCATACACAGTGTGGTAAGGCATGGTGAGGCTGCCAGTTTGGACCACATGGCGGCTGAAAAATATGTGCATGAATTCCAGGAGTACATAGAGGCCGAAGGACTGAAACCTGAACAAGTGTTCAATTGTGACGAAACAGGCCTCTTTTGGAAGAAAATGCCAAAGAGGACCTTCATTACACAAGAGGAAAAGGCAATGCCAGGACACAAGCCTATGAAAGACAGGCTGACGCTAATGTTCTGTGCTAATGCTAGTGGGGATTTCGAAGTGAAGCCATTACTAGTGTACCATTCTGAAAATCCCAGAGTGTTCAGGAAAAACAATGTTATGAAGAGTAAATTGTGTGTGTTTTGGAAATCTAATAGTAAGGCATGGGTCACGAGGGAAATTTTCGTCGAGTGGTTCAATGAAATGTTTGGCCCTAGTGTGAAGGAGTATCTCCTGGAAAAGAAATTGGATCTCAAGTGCGTGCTAGTAATGGACAATGCACCTGCTCATCCTCCAAACTTGGATGACCTAATTTTCGAGGAGTTTAGGTTCATCACAGTAAAGTTCTTGCCCCCGAATACCACTCCTCTCCTCCAGCCCATGGACCAGCAGGTCATTGCAAACTTTAAAAAAACTACACAAGAGCAATGTTTCACAGGTGCTAGACTGTGACCACAGACACTCACTTGACCCTAAGGAAATTTTGGAGAGAACACTTCAGCATCCTCCATTGCATAACCCTTATAGGTATGGCTTGGGAGGGAGTGACTACCAGGACTTTGAACTCTGCCTGGAGAAAATTGTGGCCAGATTGTGTCGACAAGAGGTATTTTGAAGGGTTTGGGACTGACCCTGATGAGCCTATGTCTGTTGTAAAATCAATTGTGGCACTGGGGAGTTCCATGGGGTTGGATGTGAGTTTGGAGGATGTGGAAGAATTGGTGGAAGACCACAACGAAGAGCTCACCACTGAGGAACTGCAAGAGCTTCAGCAAGAAGAGCAACACATCGCAGCTCAGAATCTTGCTGCAAAAGAGGAGGAAGAAAGATGGAAGAAGGTGCCTCCTTCAGAATTAAAGAGATTTTTACCATGTGGGGTAAGATGGAAAGCTTTATGGAGAAACATCACCCTAACAAGGTTGTTGCAAGCCATGTTGGCAACATGTACAGTGACAAAGTCTTGGGCCATTTTAGGGAAGTGTTAAAGAGACACCAGAAACAGAGCTCTCTCCATAGTTATTTTGCGAGACAGGACTCCAGTGACTTAATGTTTCATTCATCATTTCCCATTGTATTGTTTATGTACTACATGTATATTTCATGTAAAAAATTTTTTGTTTTAATACTTCTGGGTGTCAGGAATGGATTAATTGTATTTACATTATTTCTTATGGGGAAAATTGATTCGCAAACCGTAAATTTCGTTTATAGTAGCTCCTCCAGGAACGGATTAATTACGAAAAACGAGGGACCGCTGTATAAAAAAAAAACGTAAATCAAAGTTTTTTACACGTTTTCAAATGTAAAGAAACAAAAAGAAGATCTACGTTTTTTTACATACTTTCAAATGTTGAAAAAACGTAGATCTACGTTTAAACAGTTTAAGGGTTAAGAAAGCTACTAAATTGAACTTCCTGCTTCTGAATGGTATTCAGTTACTGTTTTGTTATTTGGGAAGCAAAGGATGTTAGAGTAATTTTCACTAAAACTTTCAGCTTAGTATTGTATTTAATGTGTGTTCTTCAGGACCAGTATGTAATGTATTTGTAATTCCATTGATATAGTGTATATGCATGTTAACATTTTTAAGTATTAATTTTAATTTATTGTTTCAAAGATATTTATGTGAAATAGACATTTCAGTCCTTCCTAGATCATTATCAAGTTGTGAGGGAGAAAACCATAAGTCAAGTCAGAGGATTAGGAGGTGACACAACCAAGGACAGGTCATGCCACATGCTCAGAAGGTTTGAACATTTAGAAATGTGCTGAGGGAGGAAAGCATTTATAAAAATGTCTGATTTCCATTTTTAATACTATATGTGGTTTAGTTGTAAATTGTCCCTGTTATGGTATTGTGATTTTTATTCTTCAGGGGTTAGACATTAGCTACAGGTATGAGCATGTGTCCTATGAACATTCAGAGTTTCATATTTCATATATAAAATACATGTATTTAAATGTCTTATTTTTAATATCCAGGTGCTGTAAGTACAGTACATGTGTACATTTATTTAATTGCTAAGGTTTGTTTGGTAATTAACCTTTTTATTGCTGTTTATTGTATATTTTTGTATATATCAAATAGGTTTATTAATTGGAAATACAGTATATATTGAGTAATGCTTGGTATATGCAGAAGTACCTAAATAGGAAGGATTGTTTAAGAGGCATTGCAGTGTATATTGTATATACAGTATATATGATTCTGAAGCATGACTTAACTGAATAGCTAATTAAATATTTGTTATGAGTAATATTCTATGTCAAATTATGAGAGGTAATAGATGGTAGCATTGTTGTAGTTAACATTGGTGTTGTACAAGAATGGTATACAATACTGATGATGAAATTAAGACATGTGCAACATCTGGGTGTCTTTATTGTAGACATTTTGCCATCCAGTGGCTTTATCAATACAAATTCTAGGACATAATGTGAAGACAGTAGAACTATATACAGAAGATGAGGTAATCAGTCCCTCAGCCTTGGAGTTGGTGCGACGAGCACCATAGTCGTGCTCCCGCAGCTTAGGAGTTGGTACTCGTTGCACCAACTCCTAGCCTAAGGGACTGATTACCTCATCTTCTGTATATAGTTCTACTGTCTTCACATTATGTCCTAGAATTTGTATTGATAAAGCCATTGGATGGTGAAACGTCTACAATAAAGATACCCATATGTTGCACATGTGTCTTAATTTCAACATTGGTGTTAACAAAAAACATAGGTTTTTGCGGAGGGTAATGTTATACACATCATTGTGTTAAAGTGAAATTTGGGTATGATGCTACAGTACAAACTTTTCAAATTAATTTAAAGGATTTGATGCAAAAAAAAAAATATATAAATATGTACTCTATCAGTAGTGTTGTTTAGTAAGCATCAGGCATCTATTTTACCCTGATTTATCAACAGTGAAAGTATTCATTTAGAAAGTTTCAACTCGTCACCCAGACTAGATATGTAACCAAGAGGGCATTATTCATATAGGGTTTCTGTTAACCCTGGTAACATGTTAGAGGAATTTATTTTTATTTATGTGTTTGATTTATTGACTGGAAATTCTGCCCCCTTTTTATTCTGCTGCCCAATACATAACAAAGCATTAATTTACTGTTCTAGGTATTTATACCATTTTGTCATAGATAAGTGATGCACTGATAGAGAAATTACTTACTGAGGTGACTTTGATAGTACTAGGAAAAGTTCTTCACATTATTTGCAGTGTATTTGTATTTTTGCATGAATATTGTTTATTTTATGAAGAAATTATCATTACAGGGATACCAAGTGACATCTTTAGATTTGATCAATAGATTTATAAATTATTTCCTTGACTGCAGTGTTCCTTCCAGATGGTGGCCGAGTAAGTGTAATGGAATCTGGGGGTGCAAGTCAGCTTTTGAGTCTCCTCCAACGTGCAGCAGGGCTTCCCAACACTCCTGATGATCACCAACTGCGCCTAGTAGCCACGGGTTTCCTTCTGAATCTTCTGAATTCCTATGATACAGTCCAGGTCAGTTGAGTCATGATGTGATGTTACTTGTTCTCATCAAAGGCAAATTCTGGAATTCAGTTGGCTTCTCCTCATATTAGGATATGAATTTTGTTGAGTTGTAGTTAATTTACTTCTCTTTAAATTAATGGCAGATGTATCTGCCATATGAATATATTTTTTGTTGCTAATTTGTATTTTTTTTTAATACATTGGCCATCTCCCATTGAAGCAGGGTTACCCTAAAAGAAAGGAGAAAAACTCTTCCACCATCATTCAATACTGAATAAAAACGTTAAATTTTTTTTTTTCAGGATCAGTCAATGGAAGCTGAACTGGTAGATGTCTTGTGCCAGTACCTTGATAAGTTTGCAGAAGATGAAGACATACCAACTCATGTTCTTCTCTCCCTCACATGCATGGCAGATACAGGTAATTTATCAACAGCAGAAGTCATCTCATTTAGTTACTGAACATGCAGATGTTGCAGATTTTGACCTTTTTCCACCACTGGTAATAGGGCAATGATATATCCTTTCTTTAATTTACACATCTATCTGGTTACCTTACAATCATTCTAGCTAGGTTAAATAGACTTTGAATTGCATACAGATGAAAGATTTTATTTTTTGTTCATTACCTGGAGCTTACCTGGAGTGGGTTTCGGGAGTCACCGCCCCTGTGGCTCAGTCTGAGACCAGGCCTTGTGGTGAATCAGGGTCTGATCAACCAGGCTGTTACTGCTGGCCACATGCAAACTGATGTACGAACCACAGCCCAGTTGGTCAGGTACTGAATTTAGGTGCCTGTCCAGTGCCTTCTTGAAGACAGCCAGGGGTCTTATGTATGCTGGGAGGCAGTTGAACAGTCTTGGGCCCCGGACATTTATTGTGTTTTGTCTCAGTGTACTCGTGGCACCCCTGCTTTTTATTGGGGGAATGTTGCATCTCCTGCCAAGTCTTTTGCTTTCATAGGGAGTGATTTTTGTGTGCAAGTTTGGTACTAATCTCTCTAGGATTTTCCAAGTGTATACTATCAGGTATCTCTTTTGCCTGCACTCCAGGGAATACAGATCAAAGGCCTTCAACTGTTCTGAGTAATTTAGGAGCCTTATCGTACTTATGTGTGCCGTGAAAGTTCTATGTACACTCTCCAGGTCAGCAGTTTTCCCTGCCTTGAAGGGGGCAGTTAGTGTACTGCAGTATTCCAGCCTAGAGAGAACAGGTAATTTGAAGAGAATCATCATGGGCTTGGCATCCCTTGTTTTGAAGGTTCTTATTATCCATCCTATCATTTTCCTAGCAGATGCAGTAGATACACTGTTGTGGTCTTTGAAGGCGAGAGCTGGCATTATCACTCCCAGGTCCTTCACATTACTTTTTTGCTCTATTGAATGGTTAGAATTTGTTGTATACCCTGATACAGTTTTCCATATCTGAGTAGTTGAAATTTTTGAGTGGCCCATTTGAAGATTGGGTTTATGTCCGCTTGAAGTCTTGCAGTGTCTTTGATGGAGGTCACTGTCATGGCAATCCAAGTGTCATCAGCAAAAGAAGACACGGAGCTATGGCTTACATCTCTGTCTATGACAGATATGAGGATAAGGAATAGAATGAGAGCAAGTACTGTCCCTTGTGGAACAGAGCTTTTCACCATAGATGCCTCAGACTTGACTCTGTTTACTATTGCTCTTTGTGTTCTCCTTGTTAGGAAGTTATAGATCCATCTATCAACTTTTCCTGTTATTCCTTTATCATGCATTTTGTGCGCTATTACACCATGGTCACACTTGTCGAAAGCTTTTGCAAAGTCTGTGTATACTACATATGTATTTTGCTTATGCTCTACAGCATCCAGGACCTTGTCATAGTGATCCAGTAGCCGGGACAGGCAGGAGCGACCTGCTCTAAGGCCGTATTGCCCTGGGTTGTGTAACTGATGGGTATCTAGGTGGTTGGCGATCTTCCTTCTTAAGAACCCTTTCAAAGATTTTTATGACATTGGATGTTAGTGCTATCAGTCTGTAGTTCTTTGCAATTGCTTTACTGCCACCTTTGTAGAGTGGGGCTATGTCTGTTGTCTCTAGTGAGTGTGGGATGACCCCTGCATCCATGCTCCCTCTCCATAGAATGCTGAAGGCTGGCGACAAGGGCTTCTTGCAGTTCTTGATGAACACGGAGTTCCATGAGTCTGGGCCTGGGACAAAGTGCATGGGCATGTCATATAATGCCTTTTCAAAGTCTCATGGTGTTAGGATAATATCTGAGACTTTTGAGATGACCAGATTTTGGGTCTCATTCATGAAGAATTCATTTGGATTGTCGACCCTTGGTCTGGGCAGCGGCTCACTGAACATTGAGTTGTATTGGGACTTTAGTATCTCACTCATTTCTTGGCGGTCATCTGTGTATGTCCCATCTCACCTGAGCAGGGGCCCAATGTTGATGTTGTTTGTTCCATAGATTTGGCGTAAGAGAAGAAGTAATTTTTTTTTTTTTTTTTTTTAATTTATGGCTTTTAGTGTTTCCTGCAATTCCTGTCTCCTGTAAGATTCCTTCAGCTTAAGTTCAATATTTGCAATTTCATTAACCAGTTCCTCCCTTTGTATTTCAGATATGTTGGCCCCTCTCAGCAGCTCTGTGACGCTTCACCTTTGTCTGTATAGGGAGCGTCTTTCTCTTTCTAGTTTACATCTTCTCTTTCTTTTTCTTAATGAAATGTGCCTTGAGCAGATCTCAAGAACCTCAGAGTTTGTTTTTTCAAGGCAAAGGTTTGGATCTGCGTTGTTTAGGATATCTTCCCAGCTTGTTTCATTTAGGACATGGTTGACTTGTTCCCATTGTACGTTTTTGTTATTGAAATTGAATTTTGTGAAGACACGCTCATGACTGATCACATTTTGCTGGTCAGGAGCCCTGTGCATACATGTCTGTACCTCTATTATGTTGTGATCTGAGTGTATTGTCTTTGATACTGTTATATTACGTATCAGATCGTTGTTGTTAATGAAGATGAGGTCCAGCGTATTTTCTAGTCTTGTAGGCTCTAATATTTGGTGAATATAAGGTGAATTTGGTGCAGAGATTTAATAGCTCACGTGTGTGTGAATTTTCATCTGAGCTGCCTCCTGGGGTGATCTCTGCTAAAATATTATTTGCTACACTCCTCCATTTTAGGTGTCTCAAGTTGAAATCTCCTTGTAGCAATATGTTTGGGGCAGGAGTTGGGAGATTTTCCAGACAGTGGTCAGTTTTCACAAGTTGCTACCAGAAATGCTGGGAAGTTGCTTTTGGAGGCTTGTACACAACTACAATGACAAGGTTTTGGTTTTCAGTGTTTACCACCAAAACATCAGCTACATCATTTGAGGTGTTTAGTAGTGCTGAGCAAATGAGCCACTCTGTGATGTTCAGGCCAAATTCCCTTGTTGCCTATTTAGTCTGTCACATCTGAATAGGTTATAACCTGGGATCCACATTTCGTTGTCAGAATGATCCTTTGTGTGGGTCTCTGTGAATGCTGCAAACATTGCATTTGACTCTGAGCAGTCCCTTGATGTAAGGGATTTTGTTGTTTGTTGACGGCTTTAGGCTCTGTATGTTTGCAAAGACAAATGTTGTTATATTGGTGGAATTTAGGGGAGTTTTATTTGATGGCTCTAATATCTGTTGTCTGGAGTGGAGGCCAATGACTGTGGCTCTGCTCCAGAAGTGTTTCCAGTTGGTGTAAGATTGCTGTCATTTCTTGCCAGTATTTTTTTCCTCCTGACCCTAAAAAACTTTTTATAAGGTTCTGATATTGTTGATGTTTTAGGAGAGTTATAGTTTCATGGGGAAACTCTACTTAAAGCAGTTACTTTTAGGTTGGTAGACAGCAACCACCCAGGGAGGTACTACCGTCCTGCCAAGTGAGTGTAAAACGAAAGCCTGTAATTGTTTTATGTGATGGTAGGATTGCTGGTGTCTTCTTTCTGTCTCACAAACATGCAAGATTTCAGGTACGTCTTGCTACTTGTACTTACACTTAGGTCACACTACTCATACATGTACACGTTTATGTATACACACTCATCTGAGTTTTCTTTGATTTTATCCTAATAGCTCTTGTTCTTATTGCTTTTCCTTTCATATCCATGGGGAAGTGGAATAAGAATCCTCCGTAAGCCATGCACATTGTAAAAGTCAACTAAAATGCCGGGAACAGTCGTCTAGTAACCCCTTTTCCTGTATAGCTTACTAAAAAGAATAAGAAGAAAACCGTCAAAGTGTTCTTTCAGGTCTACAGAAGTAAGGTTAGAGACAAGATGAGCCTACTTAAGAGTAGCTCAGGTCAGATCACGGACAGTGATAGGGATATGTGTGAAATTTTCAATTCTTACTTCCTCTCAGTTTTTACTCAGGAAGATACTAGCGAAATTCCAGAAATAATAAACCATGTAGAACAGGACGATAATTAACTATGCATGATTGCAGTAACTAGTGACATGGTCCTCACACAAATAGAGAAATTCAAAACTGAACAAATCCCCAGGCCCTGATGAACTGTTTGCAAGGGTTTTAAAGGAATGTAAAGAGGAACTTAGCAAACCTTTGGCTAATCTTTCAACATATCACTATAAACTGGCATAGTGCCTGATAAGTGGAAAATGGGAAATGTAATACCTATTTACAATGCAGGTGACAGGCCCTTAGCTTCGAATTATAAATCATTGAGCTTTACCTCCATAGTGGGAAAATTTTTGGAATCAATAATTGCTGGGGCAATTTGTAGCCATCTTGATAGGCATAAATTGATAAATGAATCTCAACACGGTTTTACTAAGGGGCGTTCCTGTCTTACGAATTTACTAACTTTTTTTCCTAAAGTGTTTGAGGAGGTAGATCATGGTAATGAATATGATATTGTGTATATGGACTTCAGTAAGGCCTTCGATAGAGTCCCACATCAGAGACTTTTGAGGAAACTTAAGGCACATGGAATAGGAGAAATTTTTTCCTGGGTAGGGGCATGGTTAACAAATAGGCAACAGAGAGTTTGCATAAATGGGGAGAAATCAGAATGGGAGCATGTCACAAGCGGTGTTCCACAGGGGTCAGTGTTGGACCCCATGTTGTTCACAATTTACATAAACGACATAGATGAGGAAATAAATAGCGACATAAGCAAATTTGCTGATGATGCCAAAATAGATCATCCAATTCATTCTATTGAGGACATTAGTGCACTCCAGGATGATTTGAATAGACTGATGCAGTGGTTGGAGAAGTGGCAGATGCAGTTTAATATAGACAAATGCAAAGTTCTAAATGTTGGACAGGACAATAACCATGCCACTTATAAACTGAGTAGTGTAGGACTTAATACTACTGATTGCAAAAAGGATTTAGGAGTTCTGGTTAACAGTTATCTGAAACCAAGACAACAGTGTATAA